AGAGAGTGTTTAGTTTATTCTAGTCTTCCCTATTATTTAACACCACCTCAATTATTACCACAAACGATCTCATTAATTATCCGTGGCCTGACTCCTACACACTGAGCACAGGGAAAGATTTCTGACCTCCTATGCTCTTTTTTATTGCCCTTTCTAGGAGCAGGATAAAGAACTGTAGCTCTCCTTAGATGCCACATAAAACCCCAATTGCTTTCAATCCAAGATCACTTGTTTTTAGAGCAAATTCAAGAGCTAGATATATTAATTGAACATATATACAGAAGAAAGCTTGAAATATGAAAGAGCTGCAATGTCTCTATCTTAAATGTTCCATCTGGCATTCACATTTAAAGATGTAGAACCCTAGGATAACATTTCCTGAAGAGCGTTTCCCTTTCAGAACTGTCTCCATGATGAAATGCATCAGACTGAGAAGTCATGGGTCTTGTATTTGAAGCCAAATTTAATCATAGGATTTTGGTGACAGCTTCTAGTCAATGAATGTCCAGGATAAAAATATTAAGCAATCAAGTTTTTATCAGCGATGGCCAATAAAAGGAAAAAAAAAAAACTAACCTCAGCCCCTGATCCCATTATGAAGATGGGTTTAGTGGCTCTCCAGTGTTGCAAGAACCACTGTCCCTGAATGCTTTGCATTCTGAGGGGAGTAACTTTCAAAGGTCAAGAAGGAAAGTGTCGCTTCAGAGATGCATAAAAGCACTCTCTTCTGTGAATGGAGAGGGAGCTCCATCTGCTTTTACAGATCAAAGGAAAATGGTGAACTACATCTGGGAATTAGTGCCCAGTGCTGCTTGTAAATAATATTTAGGTTTCCTACATTTAAAGCCCTCCGTATTGGAAACTCCTTATCTCATCACCTCTTATGACACCCTCAAAGCGGGTGCTAGATTTAATATCAGCTCATGACCACTGCCTCACACATCAGGAGAGAGATTGGGAGAAGCACCCCTATGAAAACCCAGGTGCTTCATCCAGCAGCTTCTCCACCCCTAGGGAGCAGTTATTATTATCCACAGTTTATAGAAAAGGAAGGGAAGACAAAGAGGCACAAAAACTCGCCTAAGCTAGTAGATGGTAGAACCTGAGGTTCAGCGTATCACCCTGGAGTTTGATCACTTTTTCATTTTATAATGTCTACTGGAACCACAAGGTTGTATGGTATCAACAACCACTTGTTACAGAGCTGTTGCTTACATTTCCACATGCACCAATTTCTTCTTTCTTTTCTTCCCATGGGAAACATGTCTGACTTTGCTTTAGGAAATATTGGCCATAAACTTTAGGTACAGCTGACCGTAGCCCTTGGAGATAGGACAGTCATGGGCCCAGACTTGTCATATCAGATCAGTCTACCTCCTTGTTAGGTTAAAGACTATTGTAGGGGGGAAAAAGTTAGCTTTGGGTCCCTCTTGGAGGTGGAGCATCATTCCCCAGTGACCTTTTTTCCAGATGAAAATGTTCAGAAGGACCCTCAAGGATTTCCTAAAACACAACATAAAAAGTCTCTTGAATCTTCTCTTTAGCAACCAATCCTGTTCCTTCTGGAACAATCTTACTACCCTCTCCATACCATACTAGAAAAGAGGCCACGTGGATACCAAACTGGATAATCCCAGCTGAGCTCTGCTTTTAAGTCCTTCTCTAGGCCAATGTGCTTTTTTCCTATGTTGTTTCCAGACTAAGATTTCCAGGGAACAGAGAACAACATGAAGTGACCTCTGTCAACACCATGTGGGACAAAAAAAAATTATCCCTCTGAACCTCATCCAGATTACTGACAAATAAAATCATGAGCTGAAATAAAATGCCAGTTTTGAGCCCCGAGTGTTAGGGGTGTTATGTAGCAATTAAAAATTGGGACAATCAATCTCTCTGGCCACAGTGAATAATCAGAGACAGGCTTGTGGCATGAGCCAACCAATTACCTTCAATTCCAGGGTTTTGCAAACATTAATGAGGAGAGGATGCTTTCTGTTTATTGCTAAGGGTGACTTCAAGAGATAGAAGACTGGGATATTGTTGGTACTTGGGGACAGCTTGAGGAAGACATCAATAGAGAATAAACCACAGCAGCGATACTAAGAGGTAGTGACATCTGGAGACAGCCATTGCCTTCATTTTTAACATTATGTTTAAATCAGTTGAATTTTGATTTTTGCCACTGTGGTTGTTTCGTCCAAGGAAAGCTGTATCTGGGAGAAAAGGCAACATCTCAAGGACAAGGTTGTGGGCAATGAAATGAAAGCTCACTACTCATGCACATCTCTTACCATGAACTTGAAGTATTAATATTAATCGACATTAACTGTTCCACAGTTGTACCATACAAAAAGACCAGTTTAAGGATACACAGAAAATATTTTGCCAAACCTGTGCAGAATGGTCTTAACTCAAAGGACATTTTGTACTTTCTAAATGTACTTCTGAAACAGATTAAAATTTAGTCACTAGATGTTTATATCCTTCCATGATTTATTTATCAAAATCCTTAGTAGTTAAGGTGCTAACTGTTTTACAAGGTGGAGGTTGGGAGATAATGGACTCATAAAAGTGGAGCCTTCTTGAATGGGATCAGTGGCCTTCAGAGGCCAGTGCAGAGACATCCTTTGTTCTGCCCACTCTGTCATTAGAGACTTGATCCTGTGAAGATGTTGTTAACCTGTGAAGACAAACCATCTTTGGTTTGTCTTTTACCTGCATGCCTCCAGAGCAGTGAACATAGACATTGCAGGAATTTGAGGGTCAGATTAAATGAGTCCTTAAGACCAGTGGAGTGAGGTCACATAGGTGTGAATGGGTGTGTACCAGGTGATGATCCATAGCTTCCAGCAAAGGGAATGCCAAGAGGGATTCTTTGTGATCTGATTCCACAGTTAATGTAGCTAGTATAATCACAATAAGGAACTCTGTAAAAGAGAGCCATTTTAAAATGTATTTATTTTTTTATTTATTATCTCACTTTATAATTTACTACTTATAAGAACCTAGATAATTTTAAAACTCTTTTCAACCTATTTTCTTTTTTAAATGAAGGAGCAAGAACCACCTCATCAAATAATGAAACATGTTCCTAGTGTTGGGAATATTACACCTAGAATGGGCTAAAAAGATCTCACTACCCTTCCTAGTCTTTAGGCCATTGCATAGCCTTTAATCAACACATACTTGAGATGGTTAGAGAAATGGATCTGTGCTTTCAAGGGTGGGTAGACAAAAACTGATAGTGCTATCTTTGCTGTAATACTATTTTATCAAACCAGTTGTATATAATTCTTCATGCTGGTAAGTAATTGCATTTAAGATGAATGTATTGAGAGTAGAAATTATCTTTTTTTTTTTTTTTTTTTTGCAGGGGGATACCTCAGTTTTACTTTCAAGAAACAATCAAGTTCCAAATGATGAATAAAATATAATGAAGCTTGTAAATGATCCAACAATGAATGTGTGCATCACGTGAAATGATCTCACCAAGGAGTGGTCAGGTGCGGCTAGTGAGGCTGAGGCCTTTAAAGACCTCAGCTCAAATACTTAACCTCTGAAAGTCTCAGTGTCCTTGTACATTAGATAGTGATATTTACAACACTCTTTCCTCCCAAGGTTGCTAAGGTGATTGTATATGCAACAGGCTAATATAGAAAGAGCTGAGGATACTACTTGTCATATACAAGTGCTGTGTACATGATCCATGGTGCTGATGCTGGCCATTGGTATCACCCTCCTCATTTAGAACATCCTGCTGCATCTCAAGTGTCTAATTTGATATTGCACATTACTCATTCTCTACTGTAATTCTAAAATATATATTTGTTTTTAATTTGAATAAAAGATATTGAAAATTGTAATGAAGACAGACAAGTCATTTTAATAGATTACATTTATCTAGGGTTACAAAGAGTACCAGGGAAACGTTGAAAGAGCACAAGCCTAGAGAATATTAATCTGTATTTAATTAACATTTTAAAATTGTAAAGCTATGTAGGTTTATTTTTTTCTCATATCACTTTGAATATTTACTGATCTGGAGCAAGGAATTCCTTACAGTAGGAAAACCTCATGGTAATCTATCCAGCTCATTTTTGACTGCCTCTATTCACAATCAAATTCAGGTTTTTATTGTTTTGATATAAGAAAAAATGGTTACCTTTACTGCTGTATTTCTAACTGAGGTCTAAAGGGAATAAGTTATTTCAACTTGTCTGCTCCTAGAAATACAGGATTAGAAACCTATTGAAGCTCTGCAGATAATTAAGTTAATAACGTTTACGACAACCACATTTGCTAATGGTATTGTTTTCACACCTATTACTTCATGTATAAAATTTATCACAGTGAGAGGTTGAGCCTTATTTCCATATTTATTGCTACTCTGATATTTGTACTATATGCTTATTTAAAAAAAACAGCAATGGATGTAGTTTTGAATGAGCAAAATGAGTGAAATGTGGTTGCAAAAGATCTAATGAGATTTTTCTCCTTCCAGGGCCAAGGAAAGAGCCAGCATAGCATGGAGAAACATTTGCTTCCAATCCCTTTTAATATGCACTCTGGAAAATCAATGCAGCAGATACCTGACCTTCCTTGTGTTTTTTTGTGCAAGAAAAGACCTGAAATCACAAGGTATAAAACCATAGGATTGGAATGAACGCGTTCATATCAGAGGGAAAATTTCCAACTTACATTTACCTGAAAGCCAAGGAAGAATAATAACCTCCTGTTCCCCTTTCATAGAGCCCAGTAAATCTGTCACCTTCCTGCATTTTTATTTTTCTTGTCTTCACTTTTTCCTTTGCTGTGTGAAATGATACAATGAGAAAAGTGCTGAATTGGGACTCAAAGCTCCACTGGGTAACAGCACTCTGATATTAACTACTGTGTCACCTCACTTGACATTTTCAAATTTCTGAGTCTCAGTTTCTTTATCCTAATGAAGTGTGCAGACTCTAAATTTTAGATGTAGTATAAAACTTAATAGTATTGTGTGGATGGCTGGGAACAGAGGTGACTAAGGTATTTACCCTGAGACCCATAGCTGGGAAATGGATGTTGCAGTTAGTCAACAATGGGTGGCAACCACGTAAGCTATTCCCTAGAAAATAGGCAAGCAAAACAGAGCTTCCGGGATTGCAAGGTGACATGTCTTAGCTTCGGTTTCTCACTTATGAATTAGTACTGGAAATGGGATAAGGTGAAGTACTCTCTATTCTCTTCCCATGATTGCTCAGAGTGTAGTGGGGAAGGTCAAGCCATAGACAATTACAGTTTAATATAATACATCCTGTAGAGGAGAGAGATAACAGATACTAACCCGGTACAGCAGAGGGGACCAGCCAAGGAGAGAAAAGAGGGAAGATTGAGGTTTATGGATATAGGAAAGTCCTTAGTCTTTTTGTAAACTCAACGCTAGAGGGAATATATATGCATAGCCTTGCCATGAGCCCAGGAAAATCACAGACCAGTTGTAACAGCCCTCTTGAACCTCTGTGTAGGGCACCCAGTTTTCCTCAGCCCCATTTTACCCTACCAGTCAGGAGCATTCCTACCCTCTGCCTCCCAGGAAGCATCTACATTCTGGAGACCTTTCTTTAGCTTTCCTTACTGCTATAGTTTGATTGTGGAATATCTCCTACAGGTCCATATGTAAGACATTTGGTTCTTAATTTGGTATTATTAGAAGATGTTGGAATCTCTAAGAGATGGGGTCCAGTGGGCGTTCTTCCATTTCTATGGGCTCACCCTCTCTGAGGACTATGGGAAGTGCCTCTTCCCCTCTGTGTCCTCATTCTCCTCTTCCTTTTCTTCTTATCAGATGCCCTGAGGTGCACTCATGCCATTAGGCACTGCCTCGTCACAGACCCAGAAGTGGCTAAGCGCAGTGACCACAGAGTAGAACCTCTGAGACCGTGACCAGGGCAGAGCTTCCCTCTTTAAAAGCTGTGTAGCCTAGCTGCTTTGTCACAGTAATGGAATTTTACTAACACAGTTGTTAATTTTCTACCATTCTCTGGAAAGAATCAAACTAATAAATTACCTTCTAATTACTAATTACTACTAATTACCCAGAGTAATAGCTGATGAGAAGTAGATATGCTATCCTCTCAAGGGCTGTGAGTTTGAAAAACAACTGGGATTCAATACTGGTGCTTATTTATTTTTTTAAAAAAATCCATTTTCATGGTTCCTTCTTACCATTGACTATAAGCATACCCCATTTTTAAATGATTTAAATCAAAATGGTATTTTAAATCTTTTTAAAATTTACATAAAATTGGGAATGTATTGTTTTTTTCTCCCTCAAAAATGCTTAAGTTGGTAGATGGGTGGAGTGGATCACTTTCAGGTTATGGGTCTTCAGAGGACAAATATCCACATAGGACCATGAGGGAAGGCTGCCTGGTTTCCTTCAACATTAAGCCATTGACATCCTCCATCTTCCTGAAGGGTAGGGTAGATGTGCAAATAGCTTCAACAGGCTAAGGCTGATATCACCTCATTGATTAATCGGGTGTGTTTTCAAAAGACCATACAACATTGACTCTCGGGCAGATTCCTTTGGTAATTTCTTAGTGATGATTAACATAAAACCATAGGTGAAGCACTTAGTACTCAGCCAAACATGTACCAGGTGATCAGCAAGTATCATTCTTCCTCCTATAGAAAGAAATTTTCTGGGATATGTAAGTACTGAATTCCTTTGTGATTTCCAGGTTAGAAATTGCCTCAGCATTTGCACCATCATCCTGTTTCCAGGTCTCTGCTCTGTTCTTCCTGCTGCTTCAATTATGCCTCCAATTGACCAGCCCTCTTGTCTTCCTTCTGTGTCTACTCCATAAACTGGAGATCTAGAATTGCTGTACTTCTTATTTCATTTAATTAATTACCCCTTCTTCCCTCTCTACTCAGAGTCACCTTAAGCTACTCAGTTTTCTCGTACACTTATACTTTCCTAACTCATAATGACCTGTGCTGGCTTTGTGTGCATTGGATTTCATTTCTCAGAGCATAAGCTTTCCAAGGAGAGGGGTATTTTCTGTTTATTTCATGACTAGACTTCAAGTATTGAATATTGTTTTTGACATAGAGGAAAAAGCTACAAAATATTTTTTTATACAACAAAATGTTTAGTTCATGAGTTCTATGATTGTGGAACAGAATATATGATATTTCTAAGAATCTAGAGTATGTTAATAATCCTAACATCAACTAACCACCAACATAGAGTTTCTATGGAGACTAAATGAGACAATTTAGAAACAAAAAACCTGATATCCAGTTGTCCTGGTATGGTTTGTTTCTTTTTCTAAATTGACACCAGCGAGATTCGTTTGAAAAGAGGGAACCCCAATTAAGAAAACATTTCCATAATTAGTTTGGCTTGTGGGGCATTTTCTTGATTAGTGACTGATGTGGGAAGGCCCAGTCAATGGTGGGCAGTGAATTTCCTGGTTAGTGGTCCTGGATGTTCCAAAAACAAAACAAAACAAAACAAAACAAACAAAACAAAAAAAACAAAAACAAACAAACAAACAAACAAACAAACCAAAAACCCAGGCTGAGCAAGGCATACTGAGCAAGCAAGGCAGTAAGCAGCACTCTTCCATGGATTCTGCTTCAGTTCCTGCCTCCAGGTTCCTACCTTGCTTGAATTCTTGGCCTGACAGTGATGGACTGTTACCTGGAAGTGTAATTAGAAATAAATCCATTCTTCCCCAAGTTGCTTTTGGTCATGGTGTTTGTCACAGCAATAGAAATTCCAAATAAAACATCAGTGAAAGCTTGTAACACTTTATAAAAGAAGGAAAAGCCAACTCAACATATCTTTCTACTTAACTGAGATTATTTTCATAAAGTTATAACTGTATGCTTTCCAAAATCACATATGTAAGCTGTAACCACCAGTATCACTGACAATAATTGGATGGTACAGGTAATCAAAGATCATGTGGGTAGAGCCCTTACCTAATAGGATTAATGTACTTAAAAGGAGAGACACCGGAGAGGCACAATCTCCACATCCCTGCACACACCAAAACAGGGCATGTGAAGCTATTGCAAGAAGGTTTCTATCTGCAAATCAAGAAGAGAGACTCAGAGCTAGGGAGAGGGCTTCTGGGTAAAGGCCTTGCTATGGAGGCATTAGGATCAAGTTCAGATCTCTAGCACCCACATAAAGACTGCAGCAAGATGGTGTACATCTGTAACCCTAGCACTGGAGGATGGAGACAGCCAGATCCAAGGGGCTTGTTAGACAGCCAGTCTAACTGAAGTGAGCTCTAGGTTCAGTGAAGACTTTGTCTCAGAAAACTGAAGTGACAAAGAGGTGAAGAAGGGCATCTGTGGTGGTTTGTAGAAGATCCTTCATAGACTCTAGCATTTGAACTTTGGTTCCCTGTTGGTGGTTCTGTTGGGGAGGTTTAGGGGTCTGGTCTTGCTGGAGGAAGTACATCACAGAGTAGAGGCTGTGAGTTTTCAAAGCCTCATGCCTTTTCCAGTTCATCCTTTCTGCTTCCTGACTGTGGTTTGAGATGTAAGCTCTCAGCTTGCTGTTCCAACCACCATACCTGATGTTTTTATTCCAGCATCATGGACTCCCACTCTCCGCAAACATAAACCCAAATAAACCCTTCCTTCTATACATTTATTTGGTCATGGTACTTTATCACAGCAATAGAAAAGTAGCTAATACAATAGCCTAATGTCAATCTACAGTCTCCACACTCCCCCATACAGGCAAGCATGCTTACACATACATCTGAACACACAAAACAATAGAAACTTCTTGATATTGAAATTTTGGCCTCTATAATTGAGATAAAATAATGTTCTGATGTTTAAGCTACTTGTATTGTTTGGTTATGGTAGTATGAGATCATGAATGTGTGTGAATTTGTATTTGTGTGTCTGCATATCTTGCAAAAAGAGAAGAAAACTTCTAAATCAACACTGCTTAGTAAAATCATGACATATTTCTGGTGACACCAGAGTGTTTTCTGAGCACTTACATTGTGGATCCTCACCATCATCATATTCTCTGTAGGAGCCACACGGGGTTTCTTCTTCACATTTTATGTGTGAAGAAATGGGTTCAGGCTGGTGGAAGAGTCCACATAAAATCACAGTGACAAACTCTAAAAATCAGGACTTCTGATCCAGAGGTGCCTTCAGCAAAATGACTTGACAAGGGCAAATCTATTCTTACCAAAAGAATAAAAATTTTTTACTCTAAAAATCTCATGAGCCCCACTGTTGTTGCCGATACCAGTCAGATGAATGGAAGACAAAGGGAGAGGACATGTGGAAGAAGAGAGAATGTGTATGAGCAAAGCATGTGTGTAAGAGGAGAGGGCATGTGTGTAAGAGGAGAGAGTACAGGTAAGAGAAAAGAACACGTGTAAGAGGAGAACATGTGTGTGAGAAGAGGGCGCTTGTGTAAGAGGAGAGAGTGTGTGCAAGAGAAGAGCACCTAAGAGAGAAGAAAGCCTGATGGACTGTAGCCACTAGCTTTAATTCAACTGATTTGCCTGATTTGATTTCTTGGAATTTGTGTCATAAAATTTAAAAAAGCATATTGATGTATCTCATTTTAATCCATTCTATTTAACAGTATATATGAGGAGATACAATATGATCACTGGATACATGCAGAGAACATGTAATGTAATATTTCCTCTACTTTAAATAGTGTGATCAAAACAGCAATTGTGCATATATTTATCCTGCATTTCGTGTTATTTCGGTACAGGTATATAATGCGGACAGATCAAGTCAATGTGATTAGCATTTATAGCAAGTTAAATCTGAATGTTTTGGTGCTAAGTAACTTAATACTTTGTTCTCTGAGTCTTTGGTTTTTCTCTCTTCTGGTTACTAACAAAATAAACAGAGTTCTATGAACTATAGTTACCCCACTGTGCACTGAGAACAGAACTTACTGCTTCAACTTAATTGTATTTTGGCATCCTTTACCCAGCCTCCTTCTATCCTTCCTGTTCCTTACTCATAGCCTCTAGCTATCACTACTCTATATCCAGGTTGATTTTTTTTAAATTGGTTTGTATCTTCATGTATAAAAGAATATGGAATATTTGCTCATCTGTCTTATTTTCACATAAAGTGTTGTCCTCCAGTTTCAGATATTTTGCTACAAAAGACAGCATTTGCTTTTTGTGGCTGCATATTTGACTATATATTCAGCATTCTCTTCATATCATCTTTCTTTGAGATCTCTTTAGACAGATTCATATCTTAACATTTGTGATTAGCAGGGCCATGTTGCTACTCCCTCTCAGTAGCACAGATCTCCTTTTCCATTCCAGCTCCCGTCCTCTGCTTCTGCCTCCTTGTTTACTATTATTTTGAGCAGATCAAGCCATCTCAAGTTCAATATTTGAGTGTAGGGGTGGACCTATAATAAGGGAAGTTAGGGGGCTTATCAAACAAAGACTGAACATTCTATGACACACTTTAACCTTGTTCTTGCTAGGGACCAGTGTGCTAGAAAGCAGGGAGGTGTCTGCCCTTGAGGCAAGAACTGTGATGGATTACCATTGTCTACCATGGTTGAAAACAGAAACACAGGATAGAGGTGATGATTTACTCTGTGTGGCTTAAAGCCTCAGAGTCCTGAGACTCTCCGTTCTCCGCAACGAACACACTTTGTGCCCAGAGGAAAAGTAATTTAGAAAGTTTTACTGCTGTAAGAACATGTTTTGGGGGTCTTGAGTCCACCACCTTTGTGAATGATTTGAATGCAATAAATGAAGAAATTTCAGGCAACTCAAATGGAAGGACATTTTCATGAACAGTTTATATAAAAAATTCTCTGAAATGGTCATTATGAGGGATGAGTCACCTGAAAGCCATCTTCTATTAAAATATTAAAATGTGATCAATTTTCTCAACTCAAGAACATTTGCCCTGTATTAGAGGTCATCCTTGACGAATGTCTGAACATCAATGATGGAGTAGCACAGTGTCCTGCTTATGCCCATAGAACTGACACCAGCTTCTGGATACTGGTAGTAGCTCTCCATTATGAATTGGTGAAGCACCCGTTCTGTGTATGTCAAAAACAGACTACCCTCAGATGGAATCCCACCATCCACATCTTTGTGTGACCTCCTCTCCTAGACAGGGCCTATAGGTTGTTGTTGTTATTGTTTTTTGTAACATGGCAGAGGTGCTATAGGCACTGCTCTCATAATTCTGTTCATTTTATAAGATTCAATCTTGGTGCCTGGACAAAGTAATTCTCTTCCTTCTCTTGAAGAAGCAAGCTGCCATGAGTTGTTGGTCTATGCTGGGCCTGTGTGGAAGGGAAAGGTGGTGTCTAGCATTGGAAAACAGCATCCATCAGATATCCAATGACAAGTGGTCCCTCTGCCAGGAAGTAAGTGCTGTTAACAGTCTGAAGGAGCTTAGAGATGGACATCTGCAGTCAAGGCTCTAGATAAGGATCAGCCCAGTTAGCACTCTCACAATAGATTCAAAACACATTAAGAAGCATCATATTGGCACAAAACAAACATATTGATGGATGGATTCAGATTGAAGACTGAGATATAAATCTACATGCTTATGGACACCTGATTTTGGAAAAACAAGACAGCATCTTCAATAAATGGTTCTGGTTAAGCTGGATGGCTGCATGTAGAAGAATCCAAGTAGAGCCATACTTATCACCCTGCACAAAACTCAAAGACCTCAACATAAATTAGATACACTGATCCTGATAGAAGAGAACATGGGGAACAGTCTTGAACTCACTGGCACAGGAAAAGACCTTCTAAGTGGAACACTGTTATCATGAGCACTAAGTTCAACAATCAATAAATGGGATCTCACGAAACTGAGGAGCTTCTGCATGGCAAAAGACATTGTCATTTGGATAAAGATGAAACTAACAGGATGAGAAATGATTTTTTACCAACTACCATCTCATACAGGGCTAATATCAAAAATACATGAAGAACTCAAAAACCTAGATATCAAGAAAACAAATTAGAGAATTCTCAAAAGAGGAATCTCAAAGTATTAAAGTAGCACTTAAAGAAATGTTCAACGTCCTTATCTATTAGGGAAATGCAAATAAAAACTACTTTGAGATTTCATGTTACACATGTCAAAATGGCTAAGATCAATAAAATACGTGGAAGCTCATGCTGATGGGGATGTGGAGTAAGGGGAACACTCATCTGCTGCTAGTAGGAGTGTAAATTTGTACAATCACCATGGAAATCAGTGTGGCAGTTCCTCAAGAAGATGGGAACCAATCTACCCTGAGATCCAGCTATAAACCAAACAACAACAACAACAACCACTTCATCTTACCACAGAGATATTTGCTTAACCATATTAATTGCTTTTCTATTCATAGTAGCCAGAAATGGGAAACAACCTAACTATTCCACAAAAGAAGAATGGATTGAGAGACTGTGATAATTTACACAATGGAATATTATTCAAACATCAAAACATGAAATAAATGAAATTCATAAGTAAATGGATGGAACTATTAAAAATCATCTTGGGTGAGGTAATCCAGATTGAGGAAGACATATATGGTATCTATTCACTTAAATGTGGAATATTAACTTAATAACTTAAGAGTAAATGGCCAGGGCATAGAGATAGATCTTATTAGGAGTGGGAAATAGAGCAGATATTATGGATAGATAGGCAAGGGTCTGGAATGTGAGGATCAAGTGGGGAGTGGGATGGGAGAGGGGGACAAGGGAACATAGGTAGAGACAGCTAAAGTTAAGTGGCATTTGAGTGGTAGTATGGAAACCTAATACAGTAGAAGTTTCCTAAAATATGTACGTATATGAAAGCAATCTAAATTAAATAGCCAAATAATAGGGCAGACAGAATCCCAACTGGCTATCTCTTATAACCAAATGAAACTTCCAGTACTGAGACTGAGCTGTGTATCTAATTGAGTTGTTGACCAAAGAGGTTCCATGGGAATCCCCAAAGGACCCAGGCTGCCATCAACTGTATATAGCTATAGCTGTTTTATACAACTGTAGCTACCAGCAACTATAGGCTGTTCTCCACCAACTGATGGCAAGACCCCCTTGATGAAGAAAACTCCTACACAACTCATTGAACATGGGAAGTCAAGCTGGTGCCTATGTAGAGCCTTCTCCCCTATGTTCTAGTGTAGTGATTATCAATCTATGGGTTGTGACCCCTTGGTAGGGGTTGAATGACACTTTTACAAGGGTCACCTAAAACCACTGGAAAACACAGATATTTACATCACAATTCATAATAGTAGAAAATTATAGTTATAAAGTAACAACAAAAATAATTTTATAGTTGGGGGGTCACCACAACATGGGGAACTGTATTAAAGTATTGCAGCATTAGGAAGGTTGAGAACCACTGCTCTAGTATCTTTGATACAGGGAGGTACTCTGCAAGCTATCAAAAGAGAAATGTAAACCCCAAGCCAGCCATAAAACCTTTTTTATACAATTGTGTCCTGCCTTCAAGATGTGCTAGGGCAATAGTAGTACAAAGCTTGTGAGACTAACCAATCAATAGACTTAAGGCCCTCTCCATGAGATGGAAACCATACCTGGCACTGTTTGGGTGACAAAGAACCAGAGAACTAGATAGCCCAGGGACCTAGGGTAAAACCAAATGGTGTTGTTCTAAACAGCAACAAAAATGTAGCAATAAAATGACTCATAATGATTTTCTGCTATACTTACAGATCAGTGCCTTGCTCAGCCATCATCAGAGAAGTTTCCTCCTCAAGCAGATGGCAACAAATACAGAGACCCACAACCAGATATTATGCAGATGATAAGAAACCTGGGAACTCTCAGCCCTAACTGGAATGTCTCTATCAAGTCCCTCCTCTTAGACCTCAGGCTATCCCACAAGAGACAGAAAGAGTAGGAGCTAGAGGGGATGGAGGACACCAAGAAAACAGGGTCCTCTAAATCAACATGATCAAAGCTTATATGAACTCACAGAGATTGAGACAGCATGTACACGGCCTGCATGGGTCTACACCAGGTCCTCTGTGTATATATTATGGTTTCTAGTTCATTGTTTTATGGGATTCCTGAGTGTGCAAATGAATGGGTCTATGATTCTTCTACCCTCCCTTGGTTTCTTTTTCTTCTTTTTATTTTTCTTGTCCAACTTTGATGTGTTAGTTTTTGTTTTATCATATATTATTATCCATTAGAAGCATGCTTGTTTTCTAATGAGAGACAGAAAGGGAGTGGATCCAGAAGGGAGGGGAGGTGGGAAGAACCTCAAAGGAGTAGAGGAAGGGGAAACCATAATTGGGATATATTATGTGAGAAAAAAAAATCTCAATAAATGAAAAAAAAAAAAGAGGAGCAAGTTGAGTCTCATGCATAAATCCTTGTGCCACACATTTTGAGTTGATAAATATTGTTGTTTCAGAATGTTATATTTCCATAATTTGTTACAGATAAATAGAAAGTAACCTAAGGGGACAGTGATGAGCCTAAAATGCAATCCTTGAACTTGAAGGATGTGAATGTAAGAGTATGAAGAAATGGATGAATATGGAAAATGGGGACTGGGGAGACAGCTCAGGTAGCAAAGTGCTTGCCATACCAGGACAAGGGTCATAGTTGGAATCTCAGAATCCACATAAAAAATCCTGGGTTTAGAGTGTACATTTCTAATTCTAGTGTCAGGAGGTAGAGGCACAGATTCCTGAGAATCGTTGGCCAGCAAGTACAGTTAAATCAGTGAGTTCCAGGCTAGTGGGAGACCATGTCTTAAAAAACAAGAGGGCTGGCTCCTAAGGGACAATAGCCAAGGCTCACCCATGGTTACCACATACATGGGCACATGGGTGAATGTACTCCCTGAACAGGTGCATCTAGACACGTGCTAACATGAACAGACACCTATACACAAGTGAAAAGTAGCAAAACTCTGGGAAGTATATATATATATACATATATATATACATACATATATATATATATGATTGGTCTCTAGGGAGTATATTTTTAATTTAAATTATATTTATTAAATATTTCTAAGCACTGGGCATTTGATTTAATAATTGACAGCCTTCAATCATTTCTTTTTTTGTAGTTTCCTCATTATCTACCTGAGCATCCTCCAAACACACACAGCCAAGTGAAGCATGTACTGCCTGGACTCTGCCTTGTCATATATCTGTGGCACTTCTGTGGCCTTGGGTGTCTGCTCAGAATAATTCAGGATTTCCCATCTCTTCCATACAGGAAGATGCTCTCTGCTTTATCATTCCACATGCTCCTTTAATCTCACAGTCAATTCCTTTCATAGCCTTGGTTTTCTGAGGAGATTTTATCATCTCTAACAGGAGTCATCAGTATTCCTTGATCAAGATTGAATCCGCTTGAGTCCTCATTACATACCTGGATACACAGCACAAGGCAGAAACCACTATTGTTTGGGTTTCCTGTTCTCTGACAGACGTATTTGTATTGGTCATTGATATTCTTATAGATGTAAATGGGGCAAAATTCAAGCATATTAGCTGAACCATTGAGAAGTGGATGATACTTTTGTAGTGACGAGGACATGATTGAGAATTACAATTTATATCAAGTTTAAGATTTCCTATTTCATTTCAAGATACAAAGTTAAATGTGGGGAACCCAAAATTGGCTGTGACAGCTACTGATTCCTGGTGGTTGTACTTTTGTTTGGATCAGGTGAAATCAATCAAGTCAGGTAGGCATCTCAGTGGCAGACACTGCAGGATGGATGTGACTGTCATGTCTGGATCTTGGCTCCAACCCTAGCTGGGATGCTCCAGGAATGTCAGGGTCTAGGGTGGCTCCTCCAGGCATCAGGCAAAAGCATACTGCAGACTCTGAGAACAAGGTGTGCTTGGAGTCATTCATTTAGGATGGCAGTTAAGGAGCCCTGCTGGTTTGTAAATCAAAGATACTGCCAGCAGCTTTGCTTTGGCTCAGCCTGGTGAGCTGGACTAGGGCAACTTGGTTTTACCAGAAGGATTATTGTCAACCAACGTCAACGATAGACTAAACAGCTAAACAAATGCCTCTGCTTGAAGAAGCTACTTTGTGTTTTGTGTCTGGTGATCCATAAATGATACTAAGATGTGGGCGTGGCTATTTTTCTTGTCTCTACATCAAAAATCTTTTCTTGAAAGATGTAACACTTAAAACGCAGCAGTCAGTTTTGTAAGTAGTAGGATTCTATTCATGTACATTGGACTGCTTTTTTTCTGTAGTGATCCAGCTTACCCGATTATCTCACAATAATACTGTGTGATAAGGAGCAAGGTCAGAGTTACCATGATTATGATCATCATCAACTTTTTACTTAATGTTTTTCTCAGTATTCAGTACCTTGTGAAAATATTATATATAAATCTGGGGCCAGGAAGGTGGATCCATGGAGAAGGTACTTGCTGCACCATCATGAGGGCTGGGGTTTGGATTCCCCAAACCCACATGAAAGCTAGGGATGTATGTGTATCCCTGTAACCACAGTGCTGGGGTGTAGAGACAAGCTGATCTCAGGGGCTTGATGCCTGGACAGTTCAAACAAAGTGACAAGCTTCAGGTACAGTGAGGAAACCCAGACTCAAAAGAAAAGAAAAAAAAAAGAGGACGACAGAGTAAGACATCCCAATATCCATCTCTGGCTTCATACACACACACACAAACACACAAACACACACACACACACACACACACACACACACACACACACACACACCACGCATGTACACATACACCAAATTCATACATTCTGTCCCATATGCTCTACTTCCAGAATCTGCATTTTCATAGGTGGTATCTCTCCTGGAGAAAACATTCCATGAGAAATGTTTTCATAAGAAAGGTGTCCCTAAAGGGAGTACTCTTGGAATGACAGTTTTTAAACTATTGAGAGAAACTTACCTGACTAGAACAATCCAGAGTCTTTTAGTACCTTCACAGTATATAACCATCTCCACAAAGCTAGTTCTAGAACATTTTCAGAACTCCAAAGGAAACCATACCCAATAAGCATTTCCCCCTCTTTTCATGATTCTGATAACCATTAACATACCTTCTGGGCTCTTTCTCCTTTGGGACTAGCATGCATGATGCTTCTACAGATGGCTGTGTAAAGTGTCAGCTTGAATACATGTGTACAATTCCTTGGCATCTTGGGGTGACTTTAAGGCTTGATTCTGTATCTTTTTGTATTAGTTTTAAATTATCATACAGAAGTTCCATTGTGGCATTCCCATAGGGCTCTGTTATTGCTGATCCTTCTCCCCAACCTCCCTTCTTCATTGCCCTCTGCCCCTCCTGCTGGTCCTCCTGTCCCCCATCATCCCCTGTTATTTGCATATGTCATATAGTCTATTTTATTTTCTTTATCTTTTCCATGTAAGATCTCATTTTTCCCTCCTATGGTCCCTTTCTTATTTCCTGACACATACTCCCTAAACCACACATACATAAAATTAAAATTTAGAATCTACATGTTAGAGAAAACACTCAATACTGGTCCTTTGGAGTCTGGCTTATTTTACTTAACATAATGTTTCCTAGTCCCATTCATTTTCTTGCAATTGGCACCATTACACTTTTATTTCTGGCTGATTATGTATGTGTACTCCATTTCTTTTTTCCCATTCATCTGTTGATGAACATTTAGGCTGGTTTTGTTTTTTACCTATTATGAATATTACAGAAAAAAACATAGATGTGCAAATCTCTCTGTACTAAGACTTAGGTAGAGAGTGACGGGGAAGATGCCTTCACACTAGTTTCTGGCTTGATTATGGTCCTTTGGTCCTTTGGGTGCATACCTAGGAACAGTGCAGTGTACATTACTTGTTGGGGGAGGTTAGGTCTGGTACAGAATGACCATGACCACACATAGCATTTTATGTGTCAGAGTATCAAGGAGAGCTGCCTGATTTAGCTGGGAGAGAAAAGACAGCAGGTGAGAGGACCTGGGAACTGGCAAGTGTAGAGAGTGATGCAGGAAGATGAGCTACAGCATCTGTGATGTAGTCCTAAGTTCTCATCATCACTGATCGTCTGTGTACCGCCTTCACAGTGTCTACTTAGTGGTTGTCTTCCTTCATCTGTGTGTCCAGGAGCATGCTCATTATCTTCCCAGTCACTCAGTGTTTAGTGATCAAGGAATGTATCCTTTGTGGAAAGGCAGGGATGTCAGTGTTTGACTCAACACTTTTTTGCAGTAAGTAGCCTAAGGTTTGCTGACTGAATTTGCTTCACTTTGTGTGTTCTTAAGCACAAGAGGAGCTGAATTTTCCTAATGTAAAACAAAGAGTAATTATAATCTTTATGTGTAAAATGAAATTAATAACAGGGTTGCCATAGAAAATTAAGTTACTTAGTGCATTTAAATTACTTAGACCACTGCTATTAATTCTAGTCAGTCAGTATGTCACTATCATTACCCACTCAATGTGCAAAACCAAAAGTGCTATTTTCAAATGCAATCTAGCCATGCCATTCATTTGCTTAAAGCTCACCACTCTCCACTTTTATAAATCAAGAAAGACAATGTGTACATGGCCTCTGCCCAACAATTCAGATGCTAACCTCTCAAGTGATTTGAGACTATTTTTTTTAGCTCACTCTTTTTAAACTACTTCTTTTATTTTCTAAAAACTGATAAAAATTTCCTATTACAAGGGAATCAAGAGATTTCCCTTCCTCTGCCCATATATACAGTAATTCTCTGTGATATGTCTATACAGCAATTCTCTATAATGTGTCTATGTAGCAATTCTCTATGATGTGTCTACACAGTAATTTTCTATGATGTGTCTACACAGCAATTTTCTTGGTTAGCTCCTTCTGCTATGGAAATTGGCTTCAAAACCACTCTTACAAAAGAGCTTTGCTAAAGGAAGTCCTCTATTATTAATTTTTATTTCTAATCTCTAATAATTATTTCTACTATGTCTAGCTGCAGTCCATATGTAGCCTAATTACAATGTACAAGTTATT